AAAAAAGTGAATATTACCACCCACTCTGAGAATTTAAGGTAAAGTAGAAATGTTGAAAGATTAAAAAATTGAAAGTTTATATTATCGTTCATGTGGATAATGGAATTTTAGCTTAAAATTTTCCATAAATTAATAAGAAATTTTGATAATAGCTCACTTATAGATGAATAAAAAAAGTTGTAAATGCTTAAATATATCAGTTAATAAACGAATCGGTGATAAAATTTGTTTCAAATCTTAAACTAAATTTTTTTTCCTCACCTGTTTGCCTTCCATTCCTGGTGATCCTCTTATTCCCATTGGTCCTGGTGGTCCCTAAATTTGCAACAAATTATTTGACATGAATTTTTATGGAGGAAGAAAAATTGTAAAGCAAAATTACAACTTTAGAAAATTAAAGAGCGAAATTTACTAAATTTTTCAAATATCATAATGTAAAAATATGACATACAGGTAAACCAAGTGATCCAGGAACACCAGCTAATCCTTGCTCTCCTTTTTCACCCTTCATACCTGGTGGTCCAGGTAAACCGGGACTACCCTAAATGTTATTTGTTTTAATTTCTGGAATATTTCTTGTAAGCTGAACAAGAGTAATATTTTAATCCATACTCGAGGTCCGGGTGGTCCTGGAACCGTAATTGATGATGACGATGAAGCGGTTGCTTCAATTATAGTGCCCTGAAATCACTTTTTTTTTGGAAATGTTTCCGATCGAACTCAAAAAACAATAAGTTTTTATTTTTCAAACTTTTTTAAACAGATATTTTGAGGTTTTGAGAGGTAAATTTATTTCAACAAGCTGAATACATTCCTTAGAACTATTAGATTTAATAAGTTTAGGAAAATAATTATACTTACGGAAGGTCCTGGTAATCCTGGTGGACCAATTAAACCGGGTGGTCCAATTTCACCACGTTCACCTTTTGTACCAGCATGACCCGGTAAACCTTGTGGTCCACGTTCACCACGTGATCCCTCATCACCTTTTGGACCCTACAAATTTGTACATATTTTCAGATTGAAAAAACAAACTTTACAATAATAAAATAATCTAATAGAAAAAATTGAAATGAAAATTTCAATTCTTTTTTGTTCAACCTACCCGTGGTCCAACCGGACCCGGTGATCCTGGTAAACCACCAATTCGTGCTTGTCGTTGCACCATTGGTAATAATTTTTCAATCAATTTTTCCACAGTCACATTTAAACCATCTTTACCCTGAATAATATACATCAAAAATCATTAATTTTAGCTATTAAACTTTTCAGAAAAAAAAACAAAAATTCTAAAATTTCAAAAATTTACCAAATTTTTTCTCAACCTAAAAAACTATCACAATCAATTTTACAACTATAATTCTTCCATTTTTATCCTTAACAAAAAAAAAAAACAATCCAAGTACTTTTAAATATTAGAAAATAAAATAAAATGAAAAAAAAGGGAACAATAATAAAAGCTTACCTGTTATGTAAAACAACAACATGCTGTCTAAATAAAACAAAAAAAAAGTTTCGTTTTTTCATCTTTTTGTTTAAATTTTCAAACACACATACGATTCATGCAAATAGCATGCTAACAAATATTTACTTCACAATTTATGTAAATTCAATTGACGTGATATCATTATACATATGTAGATACATATATATACGTATATTTACGTACGTTGGTTAGTAAAACAATAAATAAAAGACGTAAAAAAAAGAAGCAAATTTTTTTTCCAATAAATTTCAATTTTTTCAAAATTTACAAAATCTTCACATATATTTTTTTTTTTGTTTCGTTATTTTCATAAACATAAATAAAGAGAACAAGAAAAAAAAAAAGTGTAAATATAAACGAACTCACTTTTTTGCCACGTTTACCAATATCACCTTTGGCACCTGTTTGTCCCGGTGGACCTATTGCACCTCGGCTACCCGTATCGCCCTGAATTCTCTTACCACTTAGAATTCCTAATTTGGTGAGTATATATCACAGCATACGATTAATTGAAATTTTTGGAAAAAAAAATAAAAATTAATAAATTTCGAAAATTTTGAAAATTTTTGTTCTTGTTAATTTCACATCTTGACACGACAACAAACAATCGAAAAATTAGACACGAATGGACTGTTTTGAGGAAGAAGATAAAATTTCAAAAATGATTTGAATAATTTTCATTTCATTAATTGAAATGAACAATTTCAATTTTTGATTTTTTTTTTGTTTTTGCAATGATAAATGTGTTGTAACTTCGAANAAAAAAAAAAAAAAAAAAACATTAAGAAACCTTTTCTCCTTTTTCACCCTTTCGTCCATCTCGTCCTGGTGGACCCGGTGGTCCAGCAACAACTTGTGTTGTCCTTGCTGATGTTGCTGTGACAACACCAGGAGGACCAGGTAATCCTTGCATACCAATTTCTCCTTTTTCACCTCTTTCGCCTTTTTCACCCTGCAAACGATTGCTTGTTTGTTTGCTTTTCTTTTTTTTATAGCACATTTTAATTTGATTTAATTTTTAAATCAAATTTCACGATTTTTTTGTAATCTACAAATTAATTAATTAGCAAACGAATTAGAATAGTCTGTTTTTTTTTTCTTTTTGAAATTAATTTTTTTTTTCAAATTAATCAATTTTTTATCATGATTTGTTGCATGCTTTCCGACAAATATGAAAACTAATACGTATTTATCAAATATTCAAAATTGAAAAACGATTAAATTTTTCTTTAATTTATCAAAAATTATATATCTTCAAATTTTGCACAAAAAGATTGAAATGTGATAAAACAAATAAAAATTCGTCGCATGCAAATAATTTACCGGTATTCCTCGTTGACCCGGATTGCCAGTTCTTCCTATTTTTCCTTCAGCACCATCTTTGCCAGGAAATCCTGAATCACCTTTAGCTCCCGGAGCACCTGGAGGTCCTGGTGGACCTCGTATTCCAGGCGCTCCTGGTTTGCCCGGTGGACCGATTACCGGTTCTGAATTTTTCTCTACATATTTTGGCGTAAGGCCTGGTGATCCACGTTGTCCTGGTGGTCCAGGCTCTCCCTAATGGTTTAGGCAGTGTATTTACAGTATTACAATACAACGAATACATGCAACCATGAGCAAACATTTTATAACATTACCATTCCTAACTGAAAAATAACGGTACCAAACCACATAACACATAATTTACTAAAATAATATCGAAAAAAAATGCAAATCTGAAATTCTCTATCTTTATAGTTAAAAAAAAAAAACAAGGAATACCTTTAATCCAGGTGGCCCAGGTGGTCCTACAGGACCAGTTCTGCCCTGAATGCCAGGTACTCCAGGTTCACCTTTGATTCCAATTCGCGATTCACCATCAAAACCAGGTAATCCTCTTTCGCCTTTTGGACCCGATGGACCCGGCTTTCCGGTAACACCAGGTGGACCAGGGTTGCCCGGTGGACCAGGTGGACCCTATGATAGTATTTAAAAATTATTGGTTGATCATTATTGG